GCCCCCCCCTCCCACAGCAGCACGGGCTCCCCTCTCGCTCCCTGTGCCCATCTACCCAGCTTGCACGAGTCTCCTCCTCTCCTGTCATGGTCGCTTGCATCCAAGGGAATCCCACTCCCCCAGGTACAGGAAAGAAAAATGACTTCCTGCAATACCACTGCTGCTTGGTCCTGTGACTCGTAAGATTGCAGGGCCCGTCAGCACATCTTGGTCGTTCGTGAAAAGAATGAAAGCTCATAATACACCACAATGCAGATTGATATAAATCCTGCTTGGGCCGCATTGAGTTCTTACGCAAAGAGCACCAGGGTCAAACAATTCAGATGCAAATAGACATTGATGGAAAGGAGAAAAAATATATTTTGGAAGAAAACTGAACAACTGTATTTTGAGGGTTCATTGAAATTTGGTACCCTCTACTGGAGTTAAATAGCATGATAAGAGCCTATACTGGCCCCAGGCCAGTTTGCGTCTCGCAGATCAACTAAGGGCAAAACGCAGCAACTGGACGTCAGCTTTTCAGGTTAGTACATGTGTTTTCTGTTTAAGGAAAATCTGATAGAAAATAGTATTGTTTTTTGTTTCCTTGTCAATTTGTGATTTTCCGTTATATATCTAAGGGACAGTACATTAAATTTTGTGCTCATAAAACTACCTGTGTATATGCATATATAATGTTAAATTTCACATCCTATTCAACCAATTTTTAAAATGTCTCAGCTGTTCTCTCCAAAATGGCATTCATTGTGAGCGTAAGTTTTATTTTTATTTTTTTACTAATATACCCTTATTATATGGTGTTACTTGATTTGCAGACTACCTTCATTTTAAATATTCCAGCATGAACTCACTGTGATTGCTTGCAAGGAAACTCATGTTCCTGATTATACTATCGCCTTTTGAAAATCAGGCTAACGCGATAGATACAGTACATCGGTGTGCACTTCGTTATTTTTCAGAATGTCTGCAGCTGTAAAACTATGAAAGCAATCGAGTGTTTACAGTTTTGAAAGCTTTGGACTACGCAGATGAGTGAATACCATATAAAATATAATACTCAGGGTCTCTCCTACAAGCCAGATCACAGATTTTTTTAAAGAAAATAATTACTCTAAATTGACTGAAACGTTTAAAAATCACAAAACACTGACACTATAAAAAAAAGCATTAGAGGAATCAATGCCTGAAGTAACACTACCTTTACAGATTGCTCTGATTGGACAGCAAATTAAACTTGTGCTGTTCCATTGAAATAAGGAGGCGTGTCATTTCCCCTACCCTATCCCATCAGGCATTATGGGCCCCTCAGGCAGTCCCTCTGACCATTTGAGTGTGGTCGTGCAGCAACATTCATTTAGAGTTTTATAAATATTCATACTTCTAATTAATCCTCAAGGGAATATCCAATTAAATGTGAAATTCCGAATACAACACAAGTGGTTCTGAAATGTAAACATTGGAGAATTTCTTAAAACACCACCTTCTCTCAATCAGCAATAAATGATTAAAAACCAAATTTTCCAAATATATTACTGCTGATATGACAACCGATCCAGCCTTATTTGTAAAACATCTAAAAACTAATTTCCATAATATATATTATGCATCTGAAAAACTGTAATGGACCTTTAAAAATACTTTTTTTTTCACAGTCTATGGAGCACAACTGCAGCATGAGACTCTGGACAAAGGTATGTGATCCTTCACGCTGCTGTAGTCAGAATGACCCCTGAACCAGTGCTTGAAGTGTGCAGGTTCTCACCGGTACGCAATACCTCATTGTTTTTCTCTTCAGAGTACCAGTACTGCTCAATATCAGTAATAACAAGGGAAGTACTGGCACCAGGTAAAAGGAGTACCAGCACCTGGTACTGAGTAACAAGGGGAGTACCAGCATCTGTTACTGAATAGCAAAGGAAGTATAGACACTCCTCTACTTAAGAATGAGATACGTTCTGAACGGCTGTTCATAACTTGAAATGTTCGTAAGTCGTTATTCAACATCATTTTAAGGGTATACGCAAGTCGTACTAGGTGGTATTGGCACGCAAAAAAAAAAATATATATATATATGTTGCGAACAGGAAATGAGAGCCCAAGGAACACAATTTGGACTTGCAATCCTCTTCGTTTGTATGTCTGAAAGTTCATAAGTTGAAAGTTCGTAAGTAGAGGAGCGTCTGTACTGGCACCTGGTAGTGAATAATAAGGGGAGTACCG